GATCATCATCCAAAATTTTGCTTTTGCATCTCTGTAAAGTTGTTGTCTTTGATGCACGCTCACGCTCTGGATCCATAGCGTGCACTGTCACTGACTGCACTGGCACAAATGCCAACGCAAGTCGCAAGTCACACGTCACGTCACTCACCTTTCTAGTTGAACCATGTTGAACCAACGGCAAAGGGGCAAAGAGTAAAGAGTTCCGTGCAAATACTACGGCACAGTGTTGAAGTTCATCAGAAAGAGACAGAAGAGAACAGACTTGAAGATGCTAAGAGACTAGTTCTGCACAAAAACAGAAGTCAGACTCGGAGTCGGAGTGGGAAACCATCTTCTCTTTCTCCCTTTCTTTCTGGTATGTTCTGTTCAATTCACTGATACAAAAAAAGAATAGACTCTATAGAGATCAAACTGTTCAGCTCGCTCACCAAAACAAAAACCGAAGGTGGCCGGCAGCTGGCACCTCGAAGTCTTTGTCCACATTTGCATCTGTGATGTGATCTCTCTGAGGGTCCTCCAAAGTTTCGACGGCCAAGCACCAGGCAAGAAAACAAAAACCAAGTAAAGATTGTTTTGTATCATATCATAACAAAACCAGGAGATTTAAGAATCTGCAGATAAAAAGCTAATTGAATTGAAGATTACTTAAAAGCTGAAAAGTGAGAAGAAGCCTTGCCAAATTCTTGTCCTTGTCGTGGTCATGCTCATCATCAGCAAAAGTTGATCCAGTCGATCGCAGGTCCTGGCCAGTTGGGTGGGCAGGCCAGGCCACAAAAAAGATTGGTCAAACGAAAGTCTCTCTCGCAGTCTCGCAGACTTGCAGATAAAATTCAATTTGCTGACCGAACCATTCCCTCAATGAATGCCTGAGGCAATTGCATGGTTGCTATTGCTTACTACCAACCATCCCGAACAGCGACTTCCGCATTACCTTGTCAGCCGCTTCGTGGTCCATTCCATTCTTGCTCTCGAGGTCCTGGTCCTGGTCCTGGTCCGGCACGCAAACTGTATCGGTCTGTGTTCGTTGGCGACAGTTGGAAGTTGGCACTCAACTAATCTCAACTGTTACATCTTCATCTTCTGAAACTGAACGCTTCTTTGTTGATGAAAAAATTGAACAAACTATACATTGCAATTCTAAAGGCTCATGAGACCGGCATTTCCTTGTCAGCCGCTTCGTGGTCCATTCCATTCTTGCTCTCGAGGTCCTGGTCCGCCTGGTCCCCGAACGGTGTGTGTTCTTTGGTGACAGTAGTAGTTGAAAACTGTTTCTGTTCGTTTCTTTCAAAGCTCGCTGAAAGGCAGTTGAAAGCTTCGTTGTCGTTGGAAAACACGATTATCTAACCAGCTCAAAGCATGAGACTCATGATGTGGAGTGAATGCCGCCTTGTGTTCATAGATGGAAGAATCACCAAAAGCCATCTCAGCAACCGGACCAACCTTGACAGACAGGCAATCCCGAGCTTTCCAACTATCAGCCACTCAACCAACCACATGTGCCACAACCATCATCCAGGATCCACTTTTGGAAAACAAACTTAAACCAGTAGCAGCAGTAGAAGCAGAAGACTCAGAAGACCAGACTCTGGTTCAAAGTTCAAAGTTCAACCCCGGTACAGTAATCAGTGGTCACTCTCAATGAAACTTGGGTTCAAACCCCAACGTTGTTGGTGGCTTCATTGTCGCAGTTCATGTCCCTATCCATGCCATCGCCGTGGTCAAGATCACGTGGAGAGTCCTGGCCATGTTTTATTCAGCTTGGCGCGGGCGGGCGGCAGGCTCCTACACGATTCAACAAGGATCCAAAATTCAAAACAGATATCCAGTATTTCAGTTCTACATTCAGCTCAACTAAAGTCGGAATCGAATTAAATGTGTGTTGTCGCTCAACTCTTCGGCCATTTGCACATGGCCTCCACAACTTCAGCGTCTGGAAAAACATTGTCCTGGCTCGGCTCGGTCCGGTTTGGTTACGCTCAATGTCCTGTTAAACTAAGTCACTGATCACTGAACACTCAGAGTGAATCTCTGGTTTGATATATAGAAACACATACATAGACATAGTACATAGTACAAAACATGGACACCATTTGGCTTTGTCAATTGGTAAGTACGAAGGATAATATCAAGTTGCACCTGAGCCGCGCCGCGCCTCATCATGATCTCCATCATTCGTCACCTCCTCACGCTGTGAAGGTGCAACCAGTTGTTCAGGTTCAGGTCCATTGTCCTGCCGCTGAATTGCAACAGCAACGGTGTTACTGTTGGCCATTGGGGTCCCGGGGGGGGGGGGGGGGTCCAGAGCAGGTAGCGAGTGGCTAGCTGAATTGAATTGAAAAGAAACATCCCAACTGTTGGCTTGGCGTCTGTCCGTCCTTGCCATCAATGTCATCGTCAACGATGATCTCCAAAAAGAAACCTGGCTTGCATGGCTGCCGCTGTGGCTGCTCACCGGATTTTGAGGCCGACTTGTAAGAAGCCGCTGCCTTTCCTGGAAGCAAACCAGATAACTTGCTAGGATCGTTCTGGCCTAGCGAGATTGCTGCTTGGTAGAACGACTCAAGCTGCCCATGGACCAGCTTGAGCCCCAGAGCATGGAGTGCATCACGGTTCAAAAGCGCCAGCCAGTACCAATATCCATCGTGGAAGTATTCCTTGGGTCCACCTCCCTCACAGAAAGTTTTTTTGAGTTGCTTCGCAGTTCCTTGCCATGTTTTTCTGTGCCATCCATCCCTCTGGAGGAACCAGTAGAGCTCCCACTGCGTTGGTCGACTTGCTCCTTGTGCCAAGTTGATACGATCATACTTGTATGTGCTTCCAACTCTTGGCTGAAAAACCAAAAGCTTTCCTGAAAGTACCAGCTGTGAAGAAAGTACATTAGGCGACAGCTGCACCGCTGCCCCATTCTGTGTTCTCAAAAGCACCGATTTCTTGAGTAGACCATCCACAATTTGGTCCTCGGCAAGAGTCAATCCCGCAGTTTCAAAATGAATGGAAGAACCAGCAATCGCTCCAGAGCTCAATACATCTTGCACAAAATTGAAAGCGGTTTCACCAATGTCATCCTGCTGAATGGTCAGCACTGAATCCACAGCAGTAGGCTTTTGCCACTGATGCATAGAATTGATCAGCTCCAACGCGGCATTTGAGCTGAACAGTTTAGCCAAAGGAACTTCTGAATGCTCCAATGCAGTGACGGTCAGGAGTGTCTCAGTGGCATGTTCCACTCTGTACAGTCGCAGGCAAAAGTCTTCTCTGGAAAGGCTGTCCGCATATGACAGAGGTCTCTTTTTCAAGGCAGGTCTCTTGTCAGACACTCTAAAGACAATCAATCCAGAGCTTTCAGAAGCAAACAGAAGCATTTCTTGTGAGAGCATATCTTTGGGCACACGCTGACCTTGTGTTGGTGTACAAATCGTTGAGTCTTCAGCTCCAGCTACCTGCGATCGAGGCAATACGTCTGGCTCAGGCTGGATCACAAGGAAAGGTGATGTGCTGGGCTGCGGCTGACGCATAAACTCTTCACGGTCACGAATGGAAAGCATATCGGAACCCTTCGACAAAGGCAAAAGAGCACTAGTTTTCTCTTGACCAGGTATTGAAGTGGTCAATGCATGGACCAATGGCCGCACTTGAGTAGCGCTGAAGATACCGATTGGTAGTGAATACCAGCCAGAAGGATTCATGCAATCACGAAAATGCTGCAACATCAACTTTGCTTCAACGCGGCGGCCGTCACTGCCGTCATTCTGCAAAGCATCGGAAGCCTTTTTCTTCTCCCTGGAGCAAATGGCTGCAATGCTGTTGGGCATTTCTGGCTGGGTGGTGGTGCCAACTGAAAACTGGAGGGCGCGACCATACAAGAATCGCCTCATGTCCTTGTAGCTCAGGGTCTGCGCTGGTACCTTACATCACCCAAGACAGGGATCTGCCAACAACATGCATAGCTGAAGTCTGAAGTTGAAGCATTGAGCCGATGCCGACGCGTAAACAAATTACAGGCCTTGATTGTGTATATAAATACCTTCTTCAAACAAAGCAGGGGACCGTGAGACCCGGCCTGGTCTAGTTTAAACTGGTTGTATAAGTCATTCAAAGCATGACAAGATGCGCATCCATTCCCACCAACTGCTTCAGCAATGGCATTGCTGAGACCCTTCTCAGTGTTCAAACCTGCATATCGGATTGCTGCTCCTTCCAGTGCCTGTCGCAATGCTTGAATCTAAAGCTAAAACAGGCAAACCAAAATAGGAAATTGCCTGGGACTGGAAAGTCCAGAACTCTTAGTACCCTAGGCCGGAAGCAGGAAGTGGGAAAACCCGGGATGAAAAATCTGGGACATGACAAGCAACATTGAAATCTGAAGACACTGAACTATCAACATCAAAAGAACATTTTGACCCGGACTCCCGACCTCAGGGTCACCCAAAAAGCATTCGATGGTCTCGTGACGCAGTTCGGTGGAGATGTAGCTTTCACTGGCAGCAGGCGCTCGTCCAAGTATTTGCTTGATGCTGCGATGCTGGCCCTGCAGCTTGGGGCTTGGGCCGGGCCCCGGGCACGGTGCCACATTCCAACTACTAAGGGTTTGCCTGTTGAACTCTCTGAATCTCTGAACCGGCATTAGGTCAATGTTACATTGTACATCCACTGAAACGTGTAACGTGTGCTGCATGTGTCCTTGTATCTGTATAGTCGTATGACACGTGCACCTATTGCAAACAAAAACCACACCTCACCTCAGTGTGTCTCTCGCAACATTTGAGAAGCCGCAGTGCTCCAACCCATGCACGAAGGCCATGTTCACCTCCCAAGTCACGTAAAGGAGTGCCGTTGATGAAGTCATCCATTTGCAAATGAAGACCATGCTCACCAAATTCCTGATATTGTGCAATTAGCCTGTCCCTCGTTTATACTTTCTTGGAACTTTGTTTAACAAAGGTTGAACAGTTGAACAGAACAACAAAGTTCACAAAGGGATACAAAGTGAGTGAGCGGAGTCAAAAGTTCAAAAGTGACACATTTTCTGAGTGAAACAAACAAGGAGCTGGGCTGAAGAAACGCTGGGTAATAGGGTGGACATAGGAAGAGTTTGAAGCAGAAACCATTGAGGCATTGTAGAGGTCTCGGCATTCTCGAGCGCACTTCCTGGCCTCTTCACTGCTCTCTGCTCCAAGACCAGCCAACTTCCATGGCAAGCACTTCCAAAATGAAGACCTTAACGATGTTTGCGTGGTGATGACATCGGTAGCCGCTTGAAAGTCAGAATATATCATTGCACGGTCTGCGTCTCGAAGTTCCATGCATACAACATGAACGTGCTGCTTGGCAAGGCGAAGCACATGATTTACAAAGGAGTCATACTCACCACAAGCGTACTCATGAGCCCTCCTGCCCTTCAGCTTGCACGTCGCCTCTGAGGTTTGCAGAACTGATTTGTGGGGCTCTGACTCTGACCCAGCTTCTGCATGCAGTTTCTTGGAAACGGCTTTCTTTCTGGATGAGAACCATCTATGCTCGGTCAACTCTGATTGGTGGCAACTGCAACCCTCAGCCCAGCTTGACTCTATGTCAATGGCACCTGCAAGAGTGTTGATGAACCTTGCGTAACACCAGAAGGTGCGGTTGTTGACCGCAGCCGTGATGGACCTAGTAAACGCGTGTTTGCTTTCAGTGGCATCATTGTTGTCAGGCTCCGGGTCGGCATAGCGCTCAGTGAACTTGAACTTGGATTCATTCCAGCCTGAGGCAATGCGGCAAAGGGGCAAAGGCAACATTTATACACGATTCAACTGCACAGGTTGTCTGGTGGAGTCCATGACGAACTGACCAACCAACCCCAGTCTGTGAAACCTTTGCCGTGCCACTTCCACATCCCAGGGTCCCAGGCTATAGACATGTGAAAGAAATATACAAAACAAGAGCCAAAGCAAAGCGCCTTTCTCCAGGGCAATTTTTCTGCGAAGAAGCGCACGCACGCACGATGTCACAGAAGCCCATCGCCAATGAATCAGAGCGCCACCTTCAAAATGATCCATCAAGGATCGGTACTCCTCAAGAGGGCTCCCGATCTCATAGCATTCCTGAACATGGGAGTGGGAGCGGGCAAGATCGTGGGAACTGGGAACCACCAAGCCAAGTTGTCAAGTTGGGTACACTTGCAACTTGCAACTACCTCAAAAAAAAGAAAGAGCTCAGCAAAGTAAGTAGTAAGTCCATGAAGATCAACTTTGTTTGCTATTGAGGTAATTGGAATGTCAACTTCTTCTGCGTCTGAGGTTCCACAAGTCTATCCCTGTAACCCTTGTTGTGAAGTAAGTTCACCAGTGGATGCAGCAAGTCCTCAGGCAACTCGGGTGAACCCATACCCTGGATTCATGGAGCGCATGGAGCGTGTCAGCGTGTCACTGCAAAATGCAAAATCTAAAAGGGAACAAATAAACGCACACCCTACACTCCCAGTGCCGCACGCACCAAATGCCAAAAACTGCCAAAAGCCTTTCAAAAAGAAGCCTCGTGACTACAAATTTGGGATACCATGAGAGGCGGTCTAGGGTCTCCTTCTGGATATTGTCCATCATATGCTTCACTCCAGGCACAAGTATGCTACTCTCAATCGAAAACATCCTGGGAGCTTGAGCTTGCTGAGGCGGATCAATATCCCCCGTCCCTGTGTTGTCAGGTGCCAGAACATCTAAAAAGTTCAGAGCTGGCCGTAATCGGAACAATCCCTTGGAGTCGTCTCGATTCTGCTTCAAGATCTTGTCGATCTGAACCGGTGGCGCCTGCAGTATAGAGTGGCAAATCTGAAGTCGCAAGCGGACAAATTAACCTAATACTAAGACAAGTCAAGTCCCTGAGGCTCTGAGATAAGTTTAAACAGTTAATTTGCTATCATTCACTGTTCACTTAGTCGCTTAGATACTTGCATTTTGTTTTTGACTAAAACCATTCTGCCTGGGTCAAATGGCTCTCCACTCCAAAGTCTGAGCAGAATCCAACCACGCTGCGACCGTAGGAAGTCAAACCTTCTTCACCAACATCCAGCATCACACTTCTCAGCAACGCTTCAAACTTTGCCGGTGTGTCACTGTTTCCAGACCCAATGACAGCTGGGGGCAACACTGAGGTCTGAAGGTTTGTTGACAAAGAAAACTCTGCAATCTCTTTTGGAGTAGCATCTATCACAAGCCCTGGGTTCCGGATTCGATCTTCCACAGTAACCATGAAGTCGAGGCCCTGTGGACTGGAGTCAGATGAAAGCATCACCCACATGTGACCAGAGGTGCCGCCACATGCGTGCCACTGCTCTCTGCGAAGCTGCATCAGCAAAACATCCAGCTTCAATCTGGCGTGAGACAGCTGTGTCGGCTTGGGGACACAAAAAGTTTTTTGTGCCAGCGTTTCACGCAAATCCTGTGCTTCCTTAGCACCATATACAGTAGCAATCGCACGCATCAACACTTCTGGCAGGTTCTCTGCACTGCGCAATAGCCGAGAAATAAACAGGGCTTCGATCAACTTATGTAGCGGCAAAGGTTTGGCCCGTTTCCGCTCTGGAGCATTTGGCTGTGACCCTGGCACAGCTGGCACAATCTCCATTGCATCTGGTGCCAGCTGTACAAGTTCCATGGTGGCATGGATGTTTTATCTAAATAAGTCTAAGTTGTTGTTTTTCAAGATGTGGGGTTGTCCTGGGAACATTGAGGTCTTCCATTAAGTCTTGCAGGCTTGACCTGACATCCCACAGTGATTATTGTATATAGACTTCAGGGCCCCTTAGCCGCCTTAGCCTTGTCCTGGTCCCTTGGCTGACCTGCGAAGATGGCTGCAGTTTCTAGAAGTGCTTTGAACCACCTCAACCTACTCAAAACTCATTTTTGAGGTCTGGAACACGAACAAAAACACTTCTAAGAAACTAATTCCTGGAAAAAGTCTAAACCATTGCAATAAGAAATTTAACAATCGCCAGTGACGCAGGCCCGAGTGTTTTTGCTTATGGAAGAAATCATTCTGACACAGATCCTCGGCGTGCACTCAGCATACATCGGGCAACATTGTTTCGATGATCCTGACATGCCGTCGCGGTTGCGCGTGGTAAAAGATGACCATATGGCGTCCAATGCCTCTCTCGGCGTTGCCGATTTTGTAGAAAGTTTGTTGATGCCGTTGGAGGCGCAGGGCCGTGGCTTTGCTCATGGACACAAAAAGGTCATTAGTCTGCCCAATGATTCTGCCGCCAAACTGCAGACATTGTTTGCAAAGGATGGCCTCGCAATGCAAGCAGCCGTGAAACAGATGCGACAACAGATTGT